AGTAGCTGGGACTACAGGCATGCGCCACCATTTCCGGCTAGTTTTTTCTATATATTTTTAGTTGTCCAATTAATTTCTTTCTATTTTTAGTAGAGACGAGGTCTCGCTCTTGCTCAGGTTGGTTTTGAACTCCTGAGCTCAAACAATCCGCCTGCCTCGGCCTCCCAGAGAGCTAGGATTACAGGTGTGAGCCACTGCACCCGGCCTCCAAAATAGTTTTTATCTACAGTTATTCAATCAATCATCCATTCAATCAATATTTATTGAGTCATTTATATGTGCTTATGCATACTGTTCTGGTTATTGTGATATGTATAAAATCAATTATTCTCTTCTCTCAGAAAGGTTAAGTCTAATAGAAAGACAGATAAACACATCAGCAGTTATAATATATGAAGATAAGTGTCTGATAGAGTTTTTCAGAAATACAGAGGAAGAATGTCTCAATTAGATTAAGGAGGAAGAAAGCTTCCTGAACAATGTGATATGTGATGTGTAGGTGTTAGCTAAATAAAGAAGGGTACAGGAAGGTAGAGAGATATCCAGACAAAAGAACAGCATGTAAGAAGCTGTGAGATTTGAATAAGAATGACATGGTTTGGTATTCTAAATGGTCTGGCTGAAGGGAAGCTTTTGGAAGAGAGATGTTAGATATGACTGTATAACTACAGAGTTACAGAGAGAGGGTTAATTTATAAAGAACCTTGTATAAAAAGTAAAGAAGTACAAGCCTTAACCTGGGAGCTATGGAGATCACTGGAGGATTTAAGCACAAGACTGAGATGATTAGATCTACACTTTAAGGAGATTATTCCATCAGCAGCTTGAAGGTAGATGTGAAGAAATGCCAGACTGGAGGTAGGAAGAACAACTGGAGAACTATTATACTAATCCTGGTGAAAAGTAAAGAGGGTCTAAATTACAACATTGGCAGTCAGAATGATTTTTAAGAGCAAAGAAGGGAAATTTGGAGTCAAAGGAGAGATTAGCACAGAGGTGATAATTGATGGCATGAGGTTGTTCAGGAGTCAGGAGAGGATGTGATGCAAAACACATGTGTACTTGAACAGGCAGAGGAATACTTCTATGAAAACAAAAAGGAAGAGGGAAAGACCACTGTATATTGGAACAAGTTTGTAGGTGGCAGGTAGAATTGCCACATAAAATACAGGACACCCAGCTAAATGTGAAATTCAGATAAGCAACAAATAACTTTCAGGATAAATATTCTCCATCGCACCACAGGTTTCCTTTTCCTGAATGCTATATATTCCACTTATCTGCTTCACAAATTCCTACTCAATTCATCAGCTCAAGTGCTACCTTCTCCCCAACCCTGTACTCTCACAATATTACATATTATATATTACTCATTTTGATTATTATAAAGGTTTTCCTGCACATTGTTCTACAGATTGTTCAGTTTCTTTTTTCTTTTTTTCATTTTAGCATAGTATAGGGGTACAGATGTTTAGGTCACGTATGTTGCCCTTACCCCCCCTCCCCCCTAAGTCCGAGTTTCAAATATGTCCATCCTTCGGGCGGTGCGCATTGCACTCTTTGTGTATGCATATACCCATCCCCTCCTCCCTCCTCCTCCCTCCCCCCTCCCCCTTGCCCAACATCCAATAGATGTTAGTCTTATATGTGCATTTATGTGTTGATCAGTTAATACCAATTCGATGGTGAGTACATGCGGTGCTTGTTTTTCCATTCTTGGGATACTTCACTTAGTAGAATGCGTTCCAGCTCTATCCAGGAGTATACAAGAGGTGCTATATCACCATTGTTCCTTAAAGCTGAATAGTACTCCATGGTATACATATACCACATTTTATTAATCCACTCATGTATTGATGGACACTTGGGTTGTTTCCACATCTTTGCAATTGTGAATTGTGCCGCTATAAACATTCGGGTGCAGATGTCTTTTTCATAGAGTGTCTTTTGTTCTTTTGGGTAGATGCCCAGTAATGGGATTGCTGGATCGAATGGTACTTCTAATTGTATCTCTTTAAGGTATCTCCATATTGCTTTCCACAGAGGTTGCACTAGTTTGCAGTCCCACCAGCAGTGTACGAGTGTTCCTATCTCTCCACATCCACGCCAACATTTATTGTTTTGTGACTTTTTGATAAAGGCCAGTCTCACTGGAGATAAGTGATATCTCATTGTGGTTTTGATTTGCATTTCCCTGATGATTAGAGATGTTGACCATTTTTTCATTAGGTTTTTTGGCCATTATTCTGTCTTCTTTTGAAAAGTTTCTGTTCATGTCCTTTGCCCACTTTTTGATAGGGTTGTTTGATTTTTTCTTGTTGATTTTCCTGAGTTCTAAGTAAATTCTAGTTATCAGCCCTTTATCAGATTTGTAGCATGCAAAAATTTTCTCCCATTCTGTAGGTTGTCTTAAGTTTCTTGAAAGTAGGAATCAGGACTTTTTTTCTTCAAAGTAGGGATCTGTGTAGCCTTAGAGTCTAACACAATGGCTATCACATCAGAGGTAGCCAATATCTGCTCAATGAATCAATGTCCTATTTCAGATATTTATTATTTATTGCCTACTTTTTTTCTAGTTCATCTCCCTACCTGCAATTTCTTTCCTCTTTAAACCATCCTCCATACTGACATAAGAGTATCTTTTAAAAACATAACTATCTAATATACTTTACTATTTACATATCTTTGATTACTTCATGATCCCCACAGGATAAAGTAGAAACTCTTCAGCATGGTACTGAATATTCTGCACAATTTAATCCCCAAACTAAGTGGTTAAAAGCTCAGACTTTGAAATCATATCTGGGTTAGAGTTCTGGCTATACGACTTAATAGTTATGAGACTTTGAGTGAACAGCTTTATCATCTGTAAAATGGGGATAATAACTACCTCATAATGCTGCTGTGAAAATTAAATGAGATAATATCTGTAAAACATTTACTAAAGTACTATACTACTTTACACTATAGTACACTAACAAGCTATAGCTATTACTAAAATCCTTCCCAGCTTCATCTCTTATCACTTCCTCTCTCTTTAGTTACATTTATACCTTCCACAGAAGCTACACTTCGTAACTTGCCAAATCTCCAAACTTTAGGCTATTTCATCCTTGCATGTAATTATTCACAGTGCTTTATTTGTTTACAATGCCTATTCCACATCAGCCTGCATGACAAAGCTTGGTATTTAAAATTTTGCTATGGATAATTCCTAATATACATACAAAATAGTAAAGAAAGTTAAAAATGCTTAGGTTTCTTCACGTATTTTGTGCTCTGTAAAGGTTCTAGGATAACATAGGCTTTCTTTTATTTTAATTAATGGATATTTTACAAGCCCTATAGGGTTTTAGTGGTCAGATAATTCTCATCTATTTCAGCTGTTAAAAATCTCAGCCATTTATATGCTATAGCTTTTTAGAGTTGGGTTTTTTCCCCCATCTCTTCCAATAAATTCGTTTTGAGGAATTTATATGCTTTGCAAATATTGTTACCCTAGTCTAAGTCCATATCAAACCACGAAAATAATTTTCAATTAACTGAACTTTGAAAAAAGTTTGTTAAATGTACCTGAGACAGCACAACAATATTCTTAAATGTTCTGATATTCTTAAAATGTTTTTTCCCATTCACTGAGACTCAAGATTAGAAAATTCTAGGTATCTATAATTCTTCAGTCTCTCTCTCTCTTTTTTTTTTTTACCTTTGGTCCTTCAGGGCCGTTTTGTCCAGGAATCCCAATATCTCCTGGAAAACCCTAGGGAATATAAAAATGTAGAGTTTACTCCACAGAAAATTATTTCAAATTTCTTAAACATATAAAAATTCCCTTTACCTTTCTTTCATGTCCAGTTAAAACAATTTATACTCCACAAAAATTCAATATTAAAGATTAGTTACATTAGGCAGTTAACATTGGAATACAAAACTTATAAAGTGTACTAAAACAGAATTTACCTCTTCAGTTATTCACAAACAATCTTCAGACCCAAAGAAAGTCCTCTAGTTCAGTATAAGAGAGTGGAATTCTTATTCAGAAATTATCCATAACTTGATTTAAGTCAAAAAGGTGTGTGACATGTTCTTTCAATGTCATATGGGACACAGGGCCACCAAAGAATAGGTGAATGTACTTTGTTAGACTCATTTGTTTACTAAATCCATGTCAACTTGTAGATTTTTGTTCAGTAGAGATGCAAATCAACTTCTGTTCAATAAAAAAAAAAAATAATCCCAAGGGTTATGGCTTAATATACAGGATTAATGAGCTTTGATCTCACTCTACTATATTATCCTAACATTCCCATATTTAGTTGTCTATAAATACTTAGTTCCTCAAATGCTCTTTGAACTCAACATCTTACTGGTTCCATCATTAATTATTAATAGTAAGTGGAATAAAATCTGTAACCCATGTTTACTTTATATTTTCATGATAATCATTTTACCTTTTTGGAAACTACACTAGCAGTCTAAAACAGTTGGCTCAGGAAATAGAAATTGACCACAGTGCTAAATAAAATCTGTGCTGGGAAAAGGCCTAGAATATTTCTCTAAAATGATTAGATTAAAATTCTTGCTAAAATAATGGATTAGAATGTGATTCATCAAGATGAATTTCGATAATGATAATAAGCTAATAATTGTGGTGTTTCTCTTGTATTGAAATTGTCACAGATGAAGCTGTTTCAATGTTTTCCATTAACACAGACAAAGAAAAAAAAAGAAAGAAGCATCTTTAAAAGTAAAGAAGGCTGCAATTAAAATATGAATGTCAGCAAGAAAAAGTAGTTTAGTAGGGAAATAAATATGACAGAAATAAAAATTCCAATAAATAATATGGAACAGCAAAGTTGATTCTGAGATACTTGCTCCAGAAAGAAAAATAAGAAAGTTATACCAACTCGTCCAGTCTGGATTAGGACAGAAATGCCTTGACTTGGATTTAAAACCTGGATCCTGTGAAAAAAAATATAACTTGGAGACATATCTGACAAAAGAAAAAGCAGCAGTAACAGAAAGACTGATCACAGGATCTATCAGATTTCTGGAATGTTCTGGAACAGTTTAGTACAGATATGTTTAATACAGATTTGTTGATTGCTTTACTAATTGAAGGGTGTCAAGTTCACCTATGTTAATATTTGTATATATGACCATTTATAAAATATTAGATGCTTTTCCTGATAATTTCATGCCCTTTCTCTAGAACACATCCTTTGTTAGTATGTTTACTGTGTGTGTGGTGGGGAATTCTTGTGGACTTGAATCAAGACACACTATTCTAGTTCCTGTTGTAATACTAGCTAGCTGTTCAAAATTGAACTCATTATCTTCCGCATTATGCTCCTCCCACATCCTGTGTTCGCTATTTGAGTGAATGTTACCTCAATCCACCAGTTTCCAAGCCAAAAATCTGTCCATCACCTTTGACTATTTCTTTTTCCCTCATCACCACCGCCACCACTTTCCCATCATTTACTAAGCCCGTCCATTCCACCTCCTAATTCCCTGTCAGTCTGAGCCACTTTTCTCTATGCCTGCCTCCACTACCCAAGGGCAAGTCCCTATCCCTAGCCTCCAAACTACTCTTCTTGCTTTCATTCATGTTCCCATCCCCTATACAATGTATTTTTCACTCTGTAGCTAGACTGATTATTCTATGCAAATATGATCATGCTTTGTCACTGGCCTTAGAATAAAATCCAAATTCCTCAACACATGGTTTACAGGGATTTTTCATTCCAGTCACTGAACAATTTTCATACTCTGAAGGTATACACTCTCTTTTACTTCTGGCCTTTTGCACATTCTGTTTCCTCCACCTTGGAGAACTTTCCCTTAATTCTCTTCACCTAGAACACTTCTGTTTTAAATAGAAGACTAAATAGTATTTAACTTTCAAATCTTTCTTTGACCTCCATACCTTGAGTTTGATCACTTATAAATAATATCACATCATCCTTGGGTCCTTGTTTTGTTTTCCTCATCAGATTGTAAACTCCTTGAGTGCAGTTTTATGTATTATTCACCACCATATTCCCAGCAAGTAGTACAACACCTGATACACAGTAAATGCTGAAAAATGATTTTTGTTATTGTTGAATGACTGACTTGTTTGGGTTTTTTTTTTGAAAGAAAGGACATGTTCGGTGGCTATTTTTAGCCCCTTAGTACTGATTTACAACCAGTACCGAGTACTGGTTCAGAGATTCCATATGGATAAACTAATAATTCCTGTCCATCTTCCAGATGAGCCTGGAACACCTTGTCATACCAGAAAACAAGTTATAAAGCTATCAAAACTAGAGTCATGTTGAAAGAACTCAGTAGGTGCTTAAGGAGGATCCCACTGGACAGATATGGGGCAATATGAACTTCAATAAGGATAAGAATTACAAAGGATTGGAACATATCAAATATATTTAAATTCATAAGTTCACAATGATACAACAACAAAAATTGCTCATGTTCAAAAGATGAAAGAAAGCAACTCATCTTGAAATATGGTAAACAAAGGTGAAGAATCAACCATTTATTCTGCCTTTCCTATATGTTCTGTACCACCAGTAACCAAATAGTAGATGAGGTGATGTATTCCAGCCAACAAATGAAATACAAATTAAAAGGTGATAATGTGGATTAAAAAAAAAAAAAGGAAAGAGCAGAGTAAGACAATCTCAATTTTGCAATCCCACAAACAACCTTATGAATCTAGGCATTGAACATCTACTGTTACTAACATCTCAAAAAATAGAGATAACCAGACATTGTATGCTTCTTGTTGAAACAACCAAGTCTTGTCAAAAACCAACCAACCAACCAACATAAATAGGATCAGGTTTCTGTATGTAACTACTGATTTGCAGGAAATACATAGAACAAAGAAATATGTGGAATTACACCATGAGACTACTATAATCAGTAAAATCCAGACGGTGGGAAACTCTATAGGTCAAGTGACTAGGGAGTTTCAACAATTAAATTGTAAGGAGGAAACAGGGAATGGAGAAAGAACTTGTAGATGGAAAGGCACAGCAAATAAAACGAACAAGCCTAAGCTATAGTTTTTAAAGATGCACACTTGAGTGATAAACTATAAAAGAAAAACAATGAGAAACTGCTCACTTTGGGGAGTAGAGATGGGTTTGTGGTTAGGTTGGGACACACAGGACTTCTGCAGGTAATTGGCAGTTTTATTCTTAGACTGTGTGGTAGTTACAAGAGTGTTTGTCTTGGAATGGTCTGTGATATACGTTTGTTTTATATAGTTTTCTGTGTCTATGTTTTATTTTCAATTAAACAGTAATAAAAAATTGCTGTGATGACTTTTGGGTAAACATTGAATATTAGACATATGTGTGTATTTCTGCTCCTTCTTAAAACTTCATTAAAATATAAGTAAATATTAAAAAGACATAAAAAATGCCAAAGCCAAGGAGAATAGGAGACAAAAGATGTCAACAAATCCGATCTCATATTATACACATACAAGTTGAATATTTTAAAATCAAAACTCTATTGAAAAGCTCAGAAACACATTAGCACAGTTATTAAAAGGAAAAAAAGTCTCTATATCCTTCTCATACAGGATAGCATAGAAACTTGGCCAAAGACCCTTTTCATTATTTTGAAAATTCATACTTGAGTTACTACCAAGTAGAGATCTTGCCTTTTAAATAATAAATTTTAAAATATAAAAACCAGCATTAACTGGATCAACTGAACTTTAACAATAATATACATCTATAAAGGGAATCTTTTTTTTTAACTCTTAGATTTAGTGCTTAACATGTAAATCAAACAACCAGATATGAGCATCTTTGCTAAGTATCAAAATTTCAGAGAGATTACAGATTGAAAGATAAAAGTACATCATTAGAGTCTATACTTTTCATTTTTAAAAACTACGTTGGCATGAAACTATCCAGGAAGTAAAGTAAAAAGAAAAACTGATAAAGATGCTCTAATTCTTTTTTTTAATTTAAAATAACTTAGAAATAATGATGTGTCAAAATATTTTCTCCCACAAGGCTCTTTGCTCAGTTATCATATCACAAATGAAAATATAATATCTTAGTAAGGAAAAGGGACAGCAGCCTGACTTCGGGGGCCTTCTTAATAGAAACAGTATGACTGCCAATTTTTACCAAGAAGCAGAAAAATGAAGTAACTTTAAAAATAATAAGTGAAAATGTGTCTTCTATTTTCAGACCTTTCACATCTTTTGCTGCACTGAGAAGAGTGACTCAGCATTTTCTCCAGTAAAACATTAAGTTTTATTATTCTACATTCACTAGAGGCTGGAGACAAATTCACATGCATTTTTTAAAGCAAAACCTGGGAACCAAAGCACTAGCAGACCCCATTAGTTTCCTGGGAAACATAAAAGTAAAATATTGTCATTCTCATTTGGCAGTAGCCAGAAGTTTGGAAGCTAGAGTGTCCAAACAGAATAAATATGTGATGCTCTAAAGCATACATTGAGCACTTTAGTAGTTCTCCAATAGAGGTGATAAAGTCTCTGTTTTCTATTTAAATATATAGGCTTTTCATTTAGAAAATGGTAAATGGATAAACAATCAACAAATAAGTACATCCAATGGATAAACTAATTATGGTGTATTCATAAAATGGAACAACCTGGATGTAGCAGCCTGGATGAATTTCAAACATCTTATGCTAAATGAAAGAAGCCAGATAGAAAAAGAGTACATACTATATGAGTCCATCGATATAAAAACTTTGGAAAAGTCA